TTTAACTTTATGTGCTTTGAGAGAAAGTTGAAGACTAATTGGGCAAATAAACCCTTTCCTCCAAGTTCAGCATCATTGTTTCAACTAATTTCGGAAGTAAATTTACGCCTAACCTATCAATTTCCTATGATTGTTCTTGCTTTCCCCAAAAAATACTTGTTTCCCTGACTCAAAGCCTCCCTAGCTCAAATTTTGCTGGTACCTTGAAGTTCCACTTGAAGCAGTTTGACTGAACTGTATAATGCTTTATGAAATGTCTTTGAAAGTGTCTCAACAAAGTAATGTTCAACTGTATAGAACGCCTATTGCCTATAAGATTCCTTCCACATTTTTCTTCCTGAAGTCTTGGGTTGTTATCCGCTGAAGATGGAGGGTCAACTGGGTGCCCTACTGCCCACGCAGCAATGACAAACACGCTTTCTCCCACATGCTGCAGGTTCCATTCCAGGTATCCTGTTTTGTTTTTAAGTCTTCAGTACTGTACTACCTAGCTGTAGGTTGGGCCAGGTTGTATAAGGGGTTGTTCGGTGTGTCGGCTATAGATTTTTCTTACTTTTTATTACACTTATTATCTTTACCGAAGTATATATGCAAGAGTTGATTCATAACTTTCGAAAAGAGGGGAATGTGGTCCGTATTATGCAGACAATTCTGTACGCGAAAATGCAGGGTTGCCGTCATTGTGTGGTCTCCAGGTCGAGGCTTCATCCGGAGAAGCAATTATCCTTGAATAAATTACTCAATAAATGAACGTTTCACAAAAAAAAATACGGAAATGCTCTTAATCAAAGATAAAGGAAAGGCTCAAGGCGACCAAGAATACCGAAAATGTTTATCCAGAAGAAAAATCAGGCTGGCAGCCACATTCCCCGATGCTGCCCCTAGTGCTCTACCAATATTTTTTTGTGCAGTCTATTACTCAGAGCCAAAATCGGCGGTAGCTCGAGTTCCTGTTGCAAAAATTAAACTGTAGTTCGCAATTTTTCACTGCAGTGATCAATTGAAATGGAAATACTTCTTCTAGAGGGTTAGACGGATTACCGCAGAACCTCAATTATTCAAACAGGGTTTTCTCAATCGTGATTGGGAATCCAGATCAAGGATTTTCCAGATGTGCTCAAAATGCTAATCTGAGAACCCAAAAAAAAACGCCTTTTAACTCGCGTGAAACTGGAGGCTTTGTTTCTCTTGAAAGTTCACCGCATTTCCATCACAGAGCATATGGGCAGACAGAATTGTGGTTTAGGTGATTAACAGTGGTCTCCGACTAGCTGCAAAAAGCCGAGAAAAACCCTTCCTTTTTGTTCCAAGCTGGAAGAGAATTCAAGTCTCACTAGATGAGCATGTACACTCCTTCTTCTTCCCATGAAACTCATGCCGTATTCATGACGATACGCACGATGAATGCAAAATTATGCACCCTAGCTCCAGCTTGGCACGTTTTTCCCTCATAAGACCCCAGGTTCTCATCAACATGATGCAGTTCGGCTGAAACAAAAGTTTGGCGTTTTAGAATTCGTCTCATTCACTAAATTTTGCATGTCCAGCATACTCGCCCAGTGGCTCAACTGTGTTAGCAGTGTGTGGGAATTTGGACACTTGCGATTGCACACTTACAATTTGGCGACTCGTTCTAATTGACTGAGGCATGGATTTCTAAAAGTGCAATGTCGAATTTTTTTTGAAACAGTATTTCATTACCTTTTATCTTTACAAGTTCGAAGTTTCGGCCATTTTGTCTTATAGTATAGAGCTATAGACAATTTTTAATTTCTTTTTTCGGCTCATTCTGCACTTTTCCAATTGTACATGGCGATTAAAGTGGCAATGCGAAAAAAAAGTGATGGTTTTGAAAGTTTTTTGATCCTCCATCTTTCGCACATGCAAAAAATGACAATAAGAAGAACCATCTCAAAAATAATGTATTCGAAGGCTAGTTTTTTTATGGTTTCCTTTGTTGAGCTCTGAATTCAAAAGACATGAAGTGTCTGTGAATTCTACGCGTTACCTGAAATACGATTCGGGTCTCATTTACGGGATGACGTGACGTCCAGTCGGGTAAATGGAAAATTTTAACAAATATGCCTTGGGCGAAAAGGAATAATTCACATTAATTAAAAGGCTTGAAGCAATTCGGGGCGTCAGATCAAGGAGATACATTTTAACAGTGAAGTGATGAGAAACCGTAGCATTTGTCCGGCGATGGAAATCCACGCGGGATTGCACTGTGGGATAGCGGTGGTGGTTTTAAGGTTCTCCCATTCACAGGTTTAATTATTCAAGCTGAGCAGGGCCACGAATACATTGTTCGGGTTCATTCAACTTTTGACCAGCTCCAAGCCATGCCCGGGAGAAAAGATACCATCGCATAATGAAGTTCGATACCCACGTCCATCTGTCCTGATGACCCGAAATCAATTTGCACTCTATAGCTCGATTCTCCCTTTCTGATCGTCTCGGTCGACAATTTTTATATCTGGATGGAGAATTCTGCGGAACTCGTGGGATACCAGAGAGTCTCTGGGATTGATGATCCTGAAAACATCACCCAGAACCACCATGCAGCTGATTATATAAGTATTTATACAGAGGGACCCCGAGCTGCGGCCATGATTGTTCCTCGAAGTTCTTCGTCCCTATGTCGGAATTTCCGCATGTCGAATCACGTTTCCCATAGACTTCAACGGGTACATTTTAATCATTTCTACTTTTTGGCAAAAAAGAAAGGAAAATGTATCCAAATATAGAATAAAAACCTAGACTCAAATTTGATATGCAGGAAATATCTGAGCAGAGGTAAGCCGTGGAGAGTCTGACCCTTCGTCTTGAAAATGAGTCCAAAAATTAGAAAATGAGTGCTCATCTTGCTACACTGTACTGTACTGCACACCGTTGATGGAAAAAGCCCTAAAACGAGATTAGAACATTGTAAATCGACGTATTCATATTTAAAATAAGATCCATATCTCTATGAGCAACGAAATTCAGGGAACTAGAAAAAAATCATTGTAGAGATAATTTGACTGCAGAGAACCCTTGCGGAATGGGTATAGAATCCCCAGGGGTAAAAAAAAGTTTCTGCAGAAAAAAAATCATTGCAGAGATATTAGAGTCAACCTGTATTTTGCATATCTGTTCATAAATATAGTACGATTTTTTCAGAGATATCAAAATGTTTAAAGAGGAAATTTTACATTTTGTAGAAATGTTGAAGTATTGTATCAATATCTTGAGATATTTTCGACATGTTCGGGTAGTTTTTTTTTTTAATTGCGAAGTTTCACTAAGTCGAATCGTCAGTATGTCAGGTCATCCGGAGGTCAAAGGCACACTACCTGTATACACTAATGACATAGCTGTGTATCTGAATCGAAGAGCTCACCTTGTCAGACTTGAAAAAGTTATTAATCACGTCAAACCGTACGTATCGATTTTGATGGTGTCTGAACCTGTTAAGAAAAATCCGAAAGCTCTAAATGTAAAACTTGTGAAATCGGGGAATAGCAATTATGAAGTTCGTAAAAAGCACTGCTTAAATTTTGAATCTTGCTGTGGAAAGATACGAACCAATTCTGAAATAGGTCGTAAAACAAAGAAGTATTTCGGATAAGTATTCCAAATATTTTCAAATCTTTTTTTTGTAAAAATTTAATGGTCAGACCAGAAAACCGAAGCCAGACGATTTGAAAATTTCCCATTCTGCTGCGATTGATGGAAGCAATATCGACAATTCATCAAAAAATATTTCATGAAACTTTTGGTACCCCGGTATAAATTTGTATGTGACTGTGCGATGATGAAATAGCATTTCCATTTTTTGCTATTGAATATTCTTGTCATTTTCTAGAATTATCTGCAGCACTGTGCAGCAGCCGCTAATTTAAAATGAAGCATGTACCTGTGCTCCTGACAAGAAATTATTAATTATGCTTGAGGATTAAAAACATGGATCGTCTTCGTCGTTTTAAAGCATTCATTGCAGTTTTAAAAATTTGCTATCTAAAGTGGACTGAATAATACTAATCCCTGCACAGAATATTCAACAGTTGGAATGGCCAGGACGGGCTGTCCGGAAATCAGAATAAACGTAGGGGTTATACGCTATTCGACTGACATCTCGGTATCCAGTGTTGTGCTTGTTGTTCTTTTATTCTTCAAAGATCTAGATGTCACTGTAATCTTCATGATTCATTAAGTAATAATAATGTAGAACACTCGTATGTTCAGAATGCATTGCAGTATTGCGTTCTGAATTATAGCTGCGTCTGTAAATTTCATGTTCATCGCGAATCGGAAAAAATATAGTGGATAGCTACTAATCTTGCGAGTAAATCGTACGGAATAATCATGTAGTGGTATGGTGTAGAAATATAAAGTACTGTATTATGTACTTCGTGTTTACAATACGTATGCTGAAATCCTCCGGGAGGAAAACCACGGAAATAAAAATCCACTCAGGACCATTTGTCACAGGATTTTGACGAAATGTCCCACTTTTCGGTTTATGGAATTGTGTACGAAATGAAAAAGTATTTCACTGAAACCATTTTGTGATCTCCTGCTTTGTCATCAGCTGCTGCTGTGTGTATGCTCAAATTCATCGTCTGGAATATTTTAAAATTAGTGACGTGATTCTTCCGCATCTACAACCAGTAGAACACTCGTATACGCTGTAATTTTGGAATACGAAGCATTCAAAGGGATAATTTTCAAGATTATTAGTTGGTTTTGTTCATTACTGGACCTATGGCGGCGTATTGTGTAATTCCGTTGAAATAGACAATATGCAGTACTATACATCCATTTCTTGCAAAAGGAATCACCGGAAGGGTTTTAAACAGTCAACGACCCAACCTCTCAGACGAGGTCATATTTGCCACGGAAAACTGTAATGAAAAGGTCCCAAATCTGGGTCTCCGTGAACCAGTCCAGTTCGTGCAGTATATGAGCATGCGCTTTTGCACACATTTATACTGCATCATGGAGCAAAACAATAATAATTTGGAATCAAACCAAAATTTTTATTTCACGCAATTCCACTGACGAATCATTCCAAGAGATCAATGCAAAAATATACTTGAGGATCGTGGAAGTGGGCAATGCAAAAAAAATTTCATCCCATGGAGTTGCAGCCTTCACCGAGGGGGTCTTTGCATTGCAATGAAGCCTTTATTTTTGCCAAGGCAAAATTCAACTCATCAAGTGAGCTCAATTCATTGTTTTCCGAGAATTGCCTCTTCAAAAAATCATACCTTGCATCAATTTCACTTTCACTAGCCTCTCGGGGAATTCCGAAGAATGAATAGGCTGCTGCCAGTGTGTCTTCATTTTTCCCATCCACGTATTTCTTGAGCAGTGCTCGAGCAAGATGAACGGTCAAGGGCCCCAGAAAGCTTTTAGCTTGAGTTTCTTTGCTGGCATTCAGAACTGATGAAACAAAAATCAAAGATATCATGATCTGATGAATTCATATTTCCAGTCATAATTCTTATGATTTTCAAGGCTGGAATCCTCTCCTGCTTAAGGAAACGGTTGAGAAACAGTACAAAGTAAGCTTTTCTTCCATGCTGTACAGCAGGTTTATCACCTAGAATCTTCAATGATGATGTGGATTTCCATGAATTTCTTCAACAAATCATAACTTGCATCAATTTCACCTTCACGATAGCACCGATCTCGGGGAATTTCAAAGAATGACATGCAACATTGTTTTTATAAATCACCAATTTCATGCTGGGAAATCCTTAAGCAACGGTTTGGAGAAATTCAATAGAATGAAATAAAATATTAACCTTGTGATCGAGGGAATTGGATTCATAAATATTTATTTGCTTCCAGAGCTGGTGAGGTAAAGGCGAACGGAAGAAGAGGCAATTTTCCTCGCTCAACACAAAAACACACCAGCAACATGATTTTCTCATAAGAACCTGTCAGCATGTTCTTTCATTTAAAATGGAAAATCGTTGCACGCTTATATTTTGAATTTTCTCCAAAAACGCTGGGTCATCAAGAAGTTAAAATCAAAAACACAAGGGAGCCTTTTTTCATTTTCAGCAGAAGAAATTACGAGGCTTTTGCAGGATTATATGGAAATCCTTTTTTTTTTTCATGCACAAAAAAGAGCAGACTTACTATTCGCAAGCTTCTTGTTCAGAAGCGTGTCAAGGCCAGCTGATGGCTTTCATTTAAGCATATTAGCATGTTCTTTCATTTAAAATGAAAAATCGTTGCCCGCCTATATTTTGAATTTTCTCCAAAAACGCTGGGTCATCAAGAAGTTAAAGTCAAAAACACAAGGGAGCCTTTTTTCATTTTCAGCTGAAGAAATTACGAGGCTTTCGCAGGATTCTATGGAAATCCTTTTTCTTCATGCACAAAAAAGAGCAGACTTACTATTCGCAAGCTTCTTGTTCAGAAGCGTGTCAAGGCCAGCTGATGCCAGGAGCTCAGCGATCTTCATCATGAGAGTGAGCCACCATGGAGCCCTGCTGATTCTCTCCAGATGCTTGATCTTCGCTGTCAGAGCCTGCTTTTCAGCCTCCATTTCTGCAATTTTTCGTGAATGCTCGGCAATGTTCTCCAGCGTTGCCTGGCTAACTTCCATTACTGCCACCGCAGCTCGGAGAGCTTCCCTTTCCTGCATCAACTGGTCCCGCTCTTCTTCGTGCGCACGTTCCATCAGCTCCAACTGCAAGAGCAGCTCGGATCGCTTGTCCCGAACCATCTGAATGTCCATAACTGGCAATCGGCTGAAATTGTTGATGATAGCCCAAAGCTTATCAAGCTGGAGTTGGAAAGACTCAGCCTCTGTTAGGTCATTTGAGTCATGAAGTGCGTCAACAGCCACCATGGGTATAGGGCTGAGGGCCACTGGAAGTTGGTGCATGCCATGACCTGTAATGCAAATATTATGCCTCAAAATCAAGCGTTAGTCTTGGAGCTTCATTATTCATTCATCATGTAATCCTATTGCTATCTATTTCCACGACGCCTTTCTTCTGCCACAGGACGACGCGACCAACGTTAAAAACATCGAAATAATCAGAACCTTGGAGATTTCCTAATGCCTAATAGCAGCTTCATTCATGAACAATTTTAAAGTTAAGATGTCCATATGGTGTCCGATTAATGAACGGAATATCAGAATATCATGAATGCATTGCAGTTTCTTAATGATTTTCCGATATTGGATGATATTTTGAATTCAATGGATTCCAGCAATGCCGTCTTACCAGGACAGAATAAATATACTGGGCTCCTCAAAAGCAATTAAAAAAAAACATATGTCTGAAATATCCGAGACCATTCTGACATCACAGTCTCAAAATTAATAGTCTAGAGAAAATTAAAAAAATTCTTATTTAATTCAGGGTATTGGAATCGAAGCAGATAAAGTTGATTGGCTTTGATGAGCTTTCTTCAGAGCACAACACTTGAGTGATGTTTTGATCTAGATACAGTATAATTCAATCAAGAAACTCCGAAGAGCTGCCACAGCCTGCATTTGAGAAGTTTTAAAAACTAAAATACTGTATACTGTATATCAGAGAAATGATTTCATCAATTTTTAACATGGAATGACATACAATTTAATTAGATACATGGAACCCTGCTGATTCTCTCCAGATGCTTGATCTTTGCTGTCAGAGCCTGCTTCTCAGCCTCCATTTCTGAAATTTTCCGCAAATCAACTTTATTACATGTAATCAGACACATTTGTTGAAAGCATTAATAACGGTTTTAAAAAACTGAGCCGGTTATTGGAAAAGGCAATGACATTTATCTGCAGAGATTTAGACTTGAACATTTTCAAGCCATGACCTCATTGCAGATTCCGGACAGGAGCACTACTTACTTTGCTATGAAATGGGTTCATTGTTAGACAGTAGACAATTGTTGATACAAACATTGTTGATACAAACTCACCCTCGCAAACAGAAGCCCAAAGTTGAGACATTGCCTGCTCCAATGTTTTTCCTCGACGCTTCCTGTTTTCTTTCTCGCTGAAGCCCCAATGCGTGAAAACCACAACAAGGTTACGGTAAAAAGCAGGACCGAACATTGCCAGAAAAATGGCAAAAAACTCCTGATGCAAGGTGTCATATCGGGGTTGCTGAGCATTCTAAGGACATAAATAATGATTTAACCTTCAGTAGAGTAGTCGCAGCGTCGTTTGACAACAAAGATCTTAAGTCAAACTGGAAATTTAGATTTCTATATCTACAGGTTTTTGAACACCACATTTTGGTTAGTTATTATCATCAAAGCAGAACTCTTCTCTGAAAGTGAGTATCAGCATGTACAGTATTCCACACCATTTTCCTACAAACCTTAATTATCCACAAAGTTTTCAAGAAAAAATATTTTGGCGAAAATCAAGAGGTTTCCATGAATGAATGTGGGATTAGTAAATGAGCCAATTACAATGCTCTCACATGTTTGACATTGATAGAAGTTAAACGCATAATGCAGTAATTGATGATAATTTTGAATATCTTGTCGCGAATATTTTGAACATTTTCAGCATCATGAGTAACACGTTTAATAAATAATGTTCCAGTTGTGTTGCAGATTTTAAGTTTTTTGAACAGCCGCAGGTTAATGTTTATGAATATATTGAGCTCCAGGGCACAGATGAACTACGTTCAACATGAAAAAAAAAACGCGTCATACAATAATGATAGTACACCCTTCGTGCAGAATAAAATTACCTTGACCCAAACAAAGGCATCAATCTCTCTCTCAGTGGCCATCCCTGAAATAAATCCTTGGCGATGAACTTCATCACGGCCCTTGTTGTCACCATGTCCTGGAGTGTCAATAACTCTAATGGGTCTGAACGAATCACCACGCCAAAATCCATCGAGAATTTCAACTTTTGTAGTAACACTATCGGAATCGGATCCAGTAGCAAACCCGAAAATAGCCGCTAAATTTCCCCCGTCTTCACCGGGGTCAGGGTCGAGACCCAGCAAAACATTGCCAAGTGTAGACTTGCCCGAACCTGTCACACCAATCAGGCACAAACGCCGAATACTTTGCTCTGATTCTTCTTCCATTAACTGCACGAATTTTCGAAAACTTCCCAAACTGAACGTGCACGGATTTTTCGAGGATGTATGAGCTTCAAAGATATCTAGAGGGAACATAAGAAACGCATTAAAATCCCTCAAGAATAAGACGAAAGATTGGCTCAATATCACAGAACATATACGTTCTGTACGTATTCAACTTGCCGAGCCACTTTTTCAATACTTTCATTCGGTGGAGCCCAGTTCATTTAATTAATTTTATAGCAGCAACTTGAGATAAAGGACATCGGTCCCCGTCGCTGATTTCTCTCAGTCCCTGGCCCAATTATTCCTCTTTCAGGGATACCTTTTCCAGCAATTAAATTATTATCTTACTTCCTCATTCCTTTCCACCTTTCCTTTTAATTCACTTTATTGGCGCAGCAGCAGAGTCTTGAAGCACAAGCACTGCCTTACAGACGCACAGAGCCGTGGGAACTGGGAAGAGTGGGAACAGACATGGGGTTCAATATAAAAGGAACCGTCGCTGCAGTAGTTACTTTTTTCTGCCCTCGCAACGTAGAAACATTCTGCAAATCGGGAACACGGCAGAAGTTTTAAGACGCACGTACCCCTAAATTCTGGGAAAGCAAAGCGTCAGGGAAAATCCTGGCATAGAAATCCAAAGCCTTAATTCACAGGGCACCATAACGAAACCCAAACGCACAGTACAGTATACCACACAATGCCTTCGTAACATCAGCAAGTCAGTCAGGGATTTCTGACCAGCGAGCAAGGCATGGAGTGAATGCTGTGACCAATCCTTAGTTTTGGGTATCAATCGCAAAACAGTACAGTACTAGTACGTGCTCCGACGCCGGGAAGACCGAGTGTGCCGAGAATCGCAAACTGTACTCTACTCACCTTGCACTAATGCACTGCGCAACCGCCCGAACGCTTCTGACTCCCGGCCGGACACTCGCGTACAATAATTTCTGTCCGTCTTTCTCACCGATCTCTCAAACTGGAAAGCCAGGCGGGTTGAGGGTAAACAAAGAACATTCTCAAATTGAAACTTGGTTGAGCACGCTTGTAGCCTATTGTGCACCATCGGCTGATCCATGGCACTCCCAAACAAGAGCGTCATCAGGGTACGGTAACGGCTGGCCGGCAGATCATGGCAAGCCATTTTTCTGATTATTTTCAAGCGCAATTCGTCATGAATTCAAAACATATGTAAAGCATTTTCATTATTCGCCATGAAGATGTCTCAGCTTCTTTCACCATTTTCCATTTCCCATATTACATTATTATCTAAACTTATCATGCCGAATGCTGCTACTGCTGGTTACTGTCGCGAACCAAATTCCTTCATGCCACACACCAGCGATTCGATGTTAAAAATACAGTGGGACCCCGATAATTGGTGCACGGACGACGGACATTGTCCCTAAGTCGGAACGGCCGCAGGTTGTAACTCATTTTCCAATAGAATTCAAGGCAAATACCTGTATTTTTAATCGGTTCTCCGTTAGATGAATAGTTTAAAAAAGCCCTCAAAAATTACAATGATTTATTTTTTTCTAAACTTCCATATACTGTACATAAAATGAATGTTCAGAAGAAAATCACATAGGATCTGATCTTTTGGCTTCAGAATGAGCACAAGAAGCAAAGAATAAGAACAAGTCTTGCCATCATGAGGAACATGCTGATGGAAAAAAGTAAAAACGGGCAAACAATTCGTTTTTGATTAGGCATCAGGGTAATTTTACAATTGAAGTTTTTTTGAATTTTTAGATGGAAATAGCTCAAGAAATACAAAAATCAGAAAATTATTTTTTAATTCTTCAAGAAATCTTGAAAAAAGTCCGTATCTCAAGTACAGTGATTGCACGGATTTTGGGGGCAAATTTTTCAATTTTAAGTGTCACTAAGTCGAATCGTTCGTATGTGTCTAAATTTCGGGGTCTCACTGTGGTACCCCCAAAAAATCTTAAAAGCAGCAGATCATGAGGGTATCAAAAATTCAGCAAGGAAAATATTATGCAAGCATACATTAGGTTCATTCCAATACTGACCGTTTATTGGTATCAACGCTCCGCCATAGAAACTGTTGAAGCACGCGTTGATTATAAATGCATACCCTAACCCTGAACAGATATACGAGTTTCTGTGCAAGCATTTACTGTACAGTATTCATTTGAATGATCATAGTGTTTGCAATCCAAAAATCTGGCCTCTGAACCGCATCAGCAATCAAAATGTAATACTTGAGCTAATTAATAATGGTCTTGAGCCTAAATGGAAAACCATCTCTCGATTGTATTGTACAATATTCTTTAATCTCTATTATGTACTTTTTTAGAGTTGACTCTCTTCATTTCTGCTGACAACTGGTCACGCTTGAGGAAACACATGACTGTCATTACTGCAGAAAATCGGTCAAGTTTGAGAACTGTCCACCAGTGCATTGAAATACAGGATTCTTAGATCCATTGACGATGAAAGCATAATAGCTATTCTTGAGAATTTCAGCGCCAGCCGATCTGAAGATACTTCGGAAGACCGCACAATGAAGGAATACACATCAGTAGGAGCGACGACATGGCAAATTTGTCGTTTTTATTTTGCCTTGGATGATCGACCCTTAACAATTGCAAGCGAAAATTCGCAGATATAAAAAAAATAGATCACGGCGAAACATATCTCGCTTGCTGGTTCGGGTTGTGAAAAACAATGATAAGCGCTCGGTAGCAGGTACAGGAAAGACATTCTTGACGGCATTGATCGTATTGGGGCTTCGTAAAAAAATCCAGCGGCGAAAACATTCGGAAACCTTGCAAACTTGGACGAGTACCTGTACAAGCACAAAAAATCAACTTAATTTCGGTCATACGATCTAAAAATTATTGTAAAACCCTTCTATGAAGAAAATTTCATCATGATGTTCGTGCAGTTTCGGAATAAAAAGTATTTTATCAAGAAAAGCGATCTAGCTCAGTCTTCCAATTTAGTGAGAACTGGTAAGGAAACTTATTTATACGAGACCATTTAAAAGAGGAAAGTATAGTTTTTTATTGTAGGGATAAATAACCCGATAACGTGATGTTTCACTATCTCATTACAATGGCTAAGATATAAGTTCAACTTCAATCACAATCTGCTGCACTCGGCAATGAAAATTATTTCCGTGATTTATTCGAAAATTTAACCCCTCAACCTGATGCAGTCATCTAACGATAAAATCAAGATGATGACAATGATATGCTACAAGATTCCCGAAGTGAGGTAGAAGAACTTTGACATTAATTTCCTGTACTGAAAAATATAATTCTGCAGAAATTCCCAAAAATACATCGTTTTCCTTCACACAGAAAACGATGGCATCTTGTACAGCGATGTAAAAGCAATAACTTCGTCTGGACTTGGCCAATCAACCCGGGATTTGTTCTTTTTTCGTAAAGCTTTGAATTCTTGATTTGATCGTTGCTTTTAAGGAAACAGAATAAAAATCATTATTATTTTCTCTTGTCAAAATAGAGTATTACGATTTTCTCCTCTCTCGTTCATTTAAAAATGCAGAAAACTCAGATTATCTGTGCTTTAATTTATCGTGCATTCAATTATCCGATCACAAACATGTATTTCTTTCAAGTAACATATTCTGGACAAGGAGGTATGTAGTATTTTTAAACATTAGCCGCTTCGTATTCCTCTGAAAACCCTAACTATTTTTATCAATATCTACTATATTGAGAATTTTGGAGTGTGGAAATATTGTTGGATTTATTGTCGCGAGATCATTCCTCGACAGCTATTTAAACTCAATCTTAATCTATAAAGATTCGATTAACCAATCGAATTTAGAATTCGAAATGTTCATTATCGGGATGAAAAAGATTATAATTCGAAATACAGTAGAATCTCTTACAAATAATCTCATTATAACGAATAACCAATTTGCAACAATCTATTTTAGATTCCTGCCCAATAGCTCCAATGTTAAAACAGTTTCTCTATTAGGAATTTTATTGGTCTAAAGGGCTTCGTTGTAACGAGATCTTACTGTAATTGGATTTCTACGCTTGTACTGGATTTTCTTCAAGCCACGAGTACCCAGGTTTGAAGAATGTGAATTCCCTGACTCACTTTGGCTTACAATTTCGCAATGATGCCTTAGTAACTTCCTTCGTGGCTATCATCACCGCCGCTTCCGCCGCCATAGCTGCCGCCGCCGTAGCTGCCACCACCGGATGAGTGACCGTAGCCTCCTCCGCCACCGCTGCTACCATAACTGCCCTCGCTCTGGCCATAACCACCGCCGCCGCTGTAGCTGCCGCCGCCGTAACTCCCACCACCGTAGCTGCCGCCGCCGTAGCTGCCGCTGCCGCTGCTGCTGCTCTGTCCGTAGCCGTAGGACTTGGCAGGGACGTGGACGTACTTGGTGCGTGTGATGTACACGGGCTTCACGACAGGCTTGTAGATGGGCTTCACAACCGTGCGATACACGGGTACGTGCACGTACTGCGTCCGGTACTTGACTACCGGAATGTACTTGGGAACGTGGACGTAGTGTGTGTGTACTTTACCGTAGCCGCCGTGTCCATAGCCACGGTTTCGATGACCGCCGCCCTTCTTCCCGTGTCGCTTGTCCACGGAGTGACCCTCTTCCGCGTACAGATCCAACGGAGAGGCGCCGTTTGAGTCGCCTGCGTCCGTGGAAAGGGCTGCTGCTTCATCCACGCTGGATTCTTCTGCTAGTGCGCAGAGCACCAGCATACTCTGTGAGAAGATACATTTTTGAAGAAGGAATTCATGTCTTATAGGTGGAATTCCGGGAGATTCGAGCAACTTTGGACAGAATTCCAAGAACCGAACGCCTTCACAAAGATCGCATTATTCAAGGGGAGGAATGCATTTTTGTTTTGTTTTAATATCGGCGTGGGGAAGTTTTCTTTCCACGTTCGGTCTATCATAGAGATTAAGTAGATCAGAATAATTGGGATCTAAGCTTTAATGACACGTGAACTCGATTTCCTCGCATCAGAAAATACTGGAGTTTTACGCAGGTTTTCAGATCGGCATGAAAAATGCAGGAACTAATCCATTAATTTTATTCCCTATCCACAGTTCCACACATATCTCCTGAATTTTCATCGAGGGAAGTTGGATATCACTTCTGAAAAAACGTTTCAGTACTGTTCACTCATCAGTTGAACGTCGGTCGATTCGAAGCAATTAGTTTTTCCTTTAATTTGCAGTTGGCTAATCTCTCGCAAGCGACGGATTTGCTGCAGAATGCATAGATGCATGCTTTGAAACTTTTGTACTGTACGTTCACGCCGTCATGCAGTACATTTTGTTAACGTATACGCAGCCCACAATTTTTCCTCCCAGAAATTTCTCGATACTGCACTAAATGACCGTTGATAAGCCTCGTATCCACGAAGATTAAATTTTAAATTTTACCTTTCGTCATCTGTCGCCCGCATATTGTATGCCTTATCCAAAATGTTTACATATTTTTACGAAAAGATACGGGAGTTCATTAAATTAATACTATATCAACAAACATAACATAAACTTCAATTTTGTGGCTACTGTACGGGATACGATCCATAACATTTCGGCTGCCCTCGGTATAGGTACTATAGGCACAGAGTGACAGTCGTAAACTCTGAACTTGTATCAGTAACCTGTCAGCACAATTAGCATCTCTCGGAAAGTCGGAACGAAGAGTGAAATCTAGTAAATGAAGCAATTGGTAAAATTGAAGTTATTTTGGCATAAAAAGTAACGACAATCGCTTGATAAAGGTTTTCTTCATGTTTCATAATTTGATCGTCCATATCCAGTGTGCATTTTATGCTCATCATTTATGTTTTACTCAGGGATTTCCCCATGATATTGTGCAGTAAGTACAAAAAACCTTTGAGAAAATTTAATCAAGCTTCGATGGATATTTTTCGACCCCTACAATTCCATGGCATTGATGAGTGGAAGGAATGCTCCACGAGTACTGTACAGAAAAAGTACGAATGGATATAAATTTCGCGTAACTTTGTTTTGAAAAGTAATTTCTTCAGAATATTAATTTCGTAGTTACTTACGCATCTGAAAAGTTTTCATTTGCGAATACAGTTTAAGAGAACAAACTAGAAAAATTCCTTCAAATATTTCAAATTTGTTTGAAAGCGTCTCGTGTTATTTCAGACTATGATCGACGCTCCACTTGGGGCCAAAAAATCCGTTTACATATTTCCTCCCCTCTGTCTAAAATATTGGGAATACTTTTGAAGACGAAATGCGAAATTGACATGCCCCTAGAATAAATTATAAGAAAGGATATTTAAAAATAATTGCAGGCTTAATGAAATACACACACTCACTTCTCTTGAGAGAAAATCGAGAAATGACAATAAAAATGATTAAAATTGAATCAGATATTAATAAAAGCACACTGTCTTCCACAGTCGTAATTTATGTTCTGTTTTACGCTCGAAATATCAACGTGGATTTTAAGGAAAGAATCACTTTTCAAGGAAAAGAGTGAGTTGTTCAAGGTGGTCTTGGAAAATTGAGGTCATTGCATTCAACCGCGATCTTTGATGAGCGAGCGTGATTTTTCCATTATATACTCAACACCCGCAAGTTATTATTGGCACCTATACATTTACTCAATTTCACACCTCCTTGGGTCAAGTTTTCAACTCCAATATTCAAACTTACCAGCACGAAAAGGTGCCTCATGGCCGCAGAATGGAATAGAAATGTCACTTTCCGAAGAAAACTTCGTTAAAAAAAGATATAATCCTTTCTTCTCGTACCACACGGTAGATGTTTAGTCGTCGAAGTCTGCAAGTCGAGTGCCTTAGTTGGATGCCGGTCATTCGGCCTTAAATACTGGCACCTGGAGTTTGCGCACGCCCGGCGAATGTGGCTCGTCGTCGAGTCGGCCGTTGCGCAATATACGCGAACCTCGCGAGGCACGCGTACGGCACCTGTCGCACAACGCTCGAAGCAGAGCGCGGCGCCTGTCGAAATCCCATCAGGGACTTCGTTTTTCCGGGGCGTCGTATTGTCGTTCCTTTGCATTGGCTCGCGTTCAAGCCTAGGGAAAAGAGAGGACGACGTAACTGCAGTGCTGACTTCTATGTTCGCGGTGTCATCCGACAAAAATGGTCGATTTTTATGATGCAGTATAGACACTGCGTATGCGGAGGCTCTCAAGACGTGGTCCGCCTGAAGTTTCCAGTGGCTACGCTGTAGACCAAGGGAGCCAAGAAATCACGATGAAATCCAAGGATGAGAAACACAATTATAATCACATGGACTTTGTGCATGGAAATATTCAGAATAATTAATTCTAGAAAGGCAAGCACTGAACTGAATAATTGAAGAAAGAGACCCAAAATGCTTTGGCTATATATAAGGGAAGCACAGGAATGTAATAAAAAATCGATAAATTATCCAGAAGGTTATTGAGTATAAGCTCGATTATCCTGAATTCTAGTTTTAGCCCTTCATTTTTTTTTTTTTTTTTTTTTGCTGGGGCTCCATCACAGAAATTTATTCCAAAAAGGGTCTTCGGAGACAGCAAGGTTGAGAATCTCTCTCTTGGCATCGCGGACTTCGGCAAGTATATAAAGAGCAAAATGCGTTGAGGTCAATCTACCGATTTAGTTTTGCTTCAAACGCTCAGTGCACCACAGCATATTAATAATTTATTGTTCGAGAACGCTGAGAAAAATAATATACTGTTTCTATCTCTTGGTCTTCGTATTTTGTGGAGACTTACTCATTCATGCCAAATGAAACGACGAAAAATGAGATGATTAAATTTATAATCTTTAAAAGATTGATTAAACTGCTTACGAACAAACCAGCATTTTGGAGCTGAAACGAAAATCCGTTGGAAGGTGACACCGAAGGATTAATCAAAGAAATATGGATAATTTCTGCTGTGTGTGTTTCAAGTGTTTGCTGAAAATACGGTTAGCTTTGCACGTTTAGTGGAGTATTTATTATCCGGGCCATTGGACTCGTGACTTCAAATTATTGATCACATATTTCATCAAATTGTATAATTTCAAGTATAAGTGAAAATAAAAAATATTTCGACATGATGCAAATTATGAAGCACAGCTCCTGGCGAAATGCCAACACTATAACTTTCCCTTAATTAGACGACCTCGTGAACTTTTTGTAACGGAATATTTGGCGACGTTGAGCAACGAAGTACTGTATAAGAACAACGAAGGGAACTGAAGCGACGGAAATAATCAATCCAAGTTTGCCAAACAGATTCCCCAAGAAAGAAAGTAACAGACCGCTGAAATGGAGAGAGCAAATAGACATCTTGCAAGGTGTAAGAAGACACTATTTAACTCCGAAGAAATCGTACATATTGTGTCAATATATGGCAAACGAGGCTTCTTTCGTAATCTATTTACGGAGTTCTCATAAATGTAAAAGCATTTTCTATCTCCTCCGGGTAGTCTCCGCCATTTTCCTGTCATTAGCAAGCAAATACTGTACAATAATAATCACAAATCAGAACAGTTTCGTGACCTTTTCTATTCTGTGTATTCATTCCTATCTCAGAAATTGTTTGATTATCTCAAATGTAAGTAAACGTTTCCTCTTCAGTGAACTTCTTTTAAGAAATTCTCAGCCCAGGGCCTCAGCTAATCCGTCTTATTTTTAAAAATTCTATAAACCCAATCAGTAGAGAAAAATTCTGAAATTGATACTTTCCTTTCAAAAGTATTCAAGTTGTTTGATTTTCTTGGCTGCTCATGCTGAATTACATTAAGTTATTTCAGACATTTTGTCTCATTTGTGATGTTTGTCATCCTCATTTCACTTTTTCACGCACATTTAAAAATTTCCAGTGGATCTGTCGAAGATGAAGCTTCTCAAATTATTTGAAATACAGCCAAGCCTCATTAAGACAAACTGCCAACATTTGCATCTGAACAAATCTCGTCATGGTTGAATAGGAAACCTCAATAAAATGACGCAATAGCTGGGATCCACCAACAGTCCTGTATTGGCAAAGAAAAGTGCTAACTTGGGCATTGTTTTTATTCTTTACACCACGCACTTGTATGTACAGTATTACTGCACTATATTTTCTGCTCTGGAGCTTGAATTTGTAAGAGGAACTAATGAAAATGCTTCTGCAGAAGGACAATATATATATGCCTAATTTATGCGCTCGATCGAGTAATTTTGATGAGATGGAATTATTTGCTTGAACAAGATATCACAATGCATTTTTGTTGAGAATTATCCTAGTTTCTACATTTGATATATTCCCATACCATGAAGAAAATGAATAATATTGAAATTTTAAAACAATCAAACTTTTCTCATCTATTTATACAGTATCACATTTGAGATGACGTGAAGTAATTTGTCTTTGTTTGTTATTATTCCATTTTATTTTGTGAGGGTCAGCATTCCATTAGTTGCTTCAATATGTCACTTATCCACCATGAGAAGTGATGGATGCGGAAACAAGTGAAAAGGCTACACGGCGGTTCTTTTTAGAGTGATATTCAATCATTCCGTCACCATAGAGCTGGTTGGCATATGTGCTACACTGAAAATTAGGATTGGTTTAAGGTATTGTAACCAATTTCTTAACCCAATATTCCTTTGGATAGCTTGCTGGCCTAAACATTTTAAGAGGTTTTGAAATTAATGCTATTCCGTGTTCCGTATTCAGAGTGCGACGCTTACTGAATCAGAAGCTTTCAGGAAGCAGCGAATAATACTGCAATTCTGCTTATTTTTAATGGGAATCGCCAATGGCCTTTCACTCGTCATAAATTCCACCTCCAGCAATAATGTAAGAAGGACCTCGTTGTCAGGTACTCGTGCATTGCCATTCCAGCTTCCTAAGGAACTACAGAATTTTTGTCATGACACCTCAGGAAATCGTAACAACTTGTTCACAATTTCTCTATCGACACCCTGTTCCCGTAGGCAATGATTATCGGTGTGAACAATCGTCGTTATTCAGTCGTTGCACGTCAGTTCCTTCCTTCCTGAATTGCGATTAAATTGATTCGTCAGCATTGAGGAACTTTGGCAAGAGGAAAGAATCATTTCCGGACTGGACAACGAACCCTTTCGTTGAGCAAAAAAGTATTTGTGGAATGCTACACGCTTTCTTTCAGAAAAAATGTTTTTGTTCCAGGGTATCCAGATGCGGGGGGCTTGAATATTCTATTTATTTTTTGCTTGCTTAATGTATCCGAGTTTAACATGTAGGATGTATCACTCACTCAATTCCGTCTACGACGATTTTTGCTCTGATATTACCCATGCAACAATATTATTCTGGTCCCAACACTCGTGAAATTAATTTAATTAACTATTCTACAATATATTTACCTGCATAAAGATTTGTAGAAAAAGGCCGGACTAATTTATTTCTGGTTGAAATAATTATTTGTCATGCTTCGAAAAAAAAAACAAAGCGAACATAATTTTTGAAGGTGGCACAACCTTACTTGAAACCGGAGGAGTGTGTTGTAACGCGGAAAAGTGCATCTCAAGGTATATTAGAAGGAATTATCTCTAAATCTCTTGTGATGGGTGACGTAGCTGAAGAAATGTCCAAATTTCAGGGACCAATGAGAAATACGCACCGAGCTTATGTGAGAAATATTTATTTTTAATTTTCATCTTCCGAATCAGCAATCGCATTTCTTTTCCTGTAGGAGTATTTTCACATTTTCCTCCACTACCCCTATTTTTTGAAGAATGCAACGGCATGTTATCTGCTGTTCGTGATTCAGCACGGAAATCATGGGTTATACTCAATGCAAGTGTTTTTTCTCTCTCCGTATAATATCAATTATTCTTTTTTTTTAATCGCATGCTTCCAACATGTGTAGTCCGCCGTTCAAACTCTCCTGTTGAACTAATGAAATCTTATGAAAGAGCATTCGACCCAAGAGCTTTTTGCGGTTAACTTCCGAGTACTGTACAAGAATTCATTTTGCTGAAGTACGGTTAATGTCATCTGCCTTCGCAATATATTCGGTTTCATGCTACGGAGCATGACGTAGTGGCCACAGATTTCAGCGCGTTCAGTTCTATTCAAGTACGGTGAATAATGCCTTACTGTCAACAAATGCCCATCTGCGAATTATGAGCATGCTTCGCATTATTATTGCTCAATGTTGCGGAATGACTAAACATTTTCTGTCGTAAAAGCAATGAGGTCGAGGAATGAGTCAACCTTGACATCCTGAGTTTCCGGATGGATCGATGTCGGGCTCTTGTCTACAGAAGAGGACGGGCCGTTTCCTATCCTATAATGTGACGCAATAAAGTAAGAATTCCAATCACTCTCTCAAAAGAACAACATTCGTGATGATTTTCATGACCAATGCTCCTTGGTTATATGCACTTTGCAGAGCTCAGAGGCTGTACTGTATTGGGCTCACAATCGTGACGTTCGTGCGCAATGCAATGTGCATAACCAAGGAGCATTGGTCGTGAAAATCATCAAGCATCAAGGAATCTCAGAAAAAGTTTCATAAATTCCACGAATATCAACTCTTTGAAGTCAATGTGAATTCATATTTTATTTTAGATGTTTTTTTTGAATTCGGTCATCTACTCGCATTTATTTGGAAAGCCAGGCTGTTCCATTCCATTTCCCTGAGATTCGTTCTGAAGGCGTTGACGCCCTTTAACATCTAAGAAGACAAAAAACTTATCGGCAGCAATCCGTAGTATAATGCCTATGACCTGGAAGCAGCAGTTGGAAAGTTTACACGTACGCCTGATGAAAAAAAATCGAACAAGCCCACAAAAAGGAAAGGGAACATTTAAAAAGTTTCTCAGAAATCGCTTTTAATCGATTACCTCAGTATGATATTACTCAATTTATATCGGAAGAAGCGATACATTTCATGGCAGCATGCAGATATGAATAATGACATCATCAAACAATTTTCGTTACTCTAATCCATCATCACCTGGAAAAAAAATGTTCAATCAAACAACGCGGGAAGGATACCTACACCTATTATGTATAAAACTCTTATAACTCAGGCATTTCTGAACATTCA